TGCTTTTTGTTTTTATGAATATCTCAAAAACAAAAAATCTGAAGAAACCCACTTTTTCCTAGAACAGCCCCCATATGACGACTGGATTAATATTCACTTCCTCGGGGAATGTTGGTGGACTGGAGAGGAGGGTAAAACACAGCATCCAGTTCTTCAAGATACAACAAACATAAAATGGCCTATATGTGCGGGATATAATGAATATTTGATGAAGGAGCATGACAAGGCTTTATATTCATGGTTGGAAGTTGAATGCGAATCATGTGACAACACGATATAGAATATTTTACACATACATAAATTTACAAGACGCTTTTTTATAAAATATCTTTATAATAATAATATAATCGTAATTATAATCGTAATTTAATGGTGGAACTGTTTCTGATATCGGTGGAATGTACATTTGTAAAACGGAAAGTGTGTAAATGATTGAAATAATATTTATTATTATCTATTGCGACTGTAATTGAAAAACAAAAGATTTTACAATCATAATAAAGAAAAATTTTATGCAAAATATACAAATACATTTAATTGATTATTAATATTATTTGCATTTTCTAATGTTAAAGTTTGGACATTTGTTTGTTTCCTTAAATCCCATATTTTAATCAAATTATCTGAAAATAACAATAATTTAACTTTTCCTGCGTGTCCTCCTAAATTCTAACAGTTGAATCATTTGTACCTGTTCCTTAATGTAAATTATACATTGTGTTTCAAAAAAAGGGTGCGCACAAAAAACCACATATCTCAACCACAAAGATATTACTTGCCCAAGACCAATCTATACTGGCAATGAATAAAATATAATCACCTCTATGACTTATGTTTAATACGCTTAATCTTTTGTTAAATATTGTTAGCTTTTTCCACATTTAAAGTAAAAAAGTACTAAAATAATTATATACTTAATATGCCCTCATGAAAAGTGATATAAGTATATATTAAAAGAATAAATAAAAAAGGAACAAACAAAAAAATAATGACAAACATTCTAAAAGAACAACAACAACCAAATAAAGAGCTATTAAATGAAATCAAAACATTAAAAAATTTCGAAGATGAGCATAGATTCGAATTTTTAATCCCATCCTGAAACCTATTTTTGATATTGTACATAAAATTTACAGCATTAAACTTAAACAGAGCACTTGGTAGTTCAACAAAACGTCCAGATTTTCCTTGCCATATTGATGATCTTCCGATCATAAACACAGAAGTAAAACCATTGAGATATACTCGATTTCAGAAAATCAAAAGATTTCATAAAAGCCATTTGTGCGCAAAAAAAACTATTGATGGGGCTAATTGATCGAAGAACGGGCCTTACAATTAAATATGGGTAGGCGAACTCATGCCATGAGATGTTTATTTCATTGAAAATTTCACCTGAATTGTTGTTTATTTAATAATCTAGGTATATACATTGAATCTTTCATAATTGATTTGGATGTGGATGGTGTATATAGAGTATTCCCTTTTATGAAATCCATTTTACCGATTGATAAACCGTCGATTGTGTCATTGTCTCCTACTTTAGCACACCTAATAGCATTACATGTATAAAGAATGCTAAAGTTTTTTTGCTTTAGGTTTTATGATATATTTTTTCTCATTATTACACTGTTCGCTGTAATTCAGGAACATGTTGCGGCACTGGCAGAAGATTATAGGTCCGGGCCTAAATATTTTACACCATCAAGAAGATCGAGTTACAATAGAAAATCACTAGATTCACCACAAATAAAAAATTTGATGAAGTGAATCTTTCTTTTTTGGCCCTGTTTTTTAACTTTTTTTTTAAAATAGTTAATATATAAAACGAAATCAATTTGGTTTGATAAAAAGAATAAAAACGTTAAAAAATTTTTGACTATTAATTGATTACCCCAATTTTTTTTTTTTTTTGACTGCAATTCCCACAATCCATATAATTCTTTGACACAACAATAATAATGTGCAATGTTGTATTTATTTTCATTTTATTTATTTTTTAAGGGTAGAGCTCGATTACATATAAAATGTATGGCAAATTTTGGGTACCATCACTACACGTATTTGGAAAAAAGTTTCGGAACACTCGCTTCGCAAAATATACATATTAGATCAACGATACACAACAGCAAAAAACTGGCATCCCAATTAATAAAAAATTCTGGATCAACGCAATAATATTTTCTTCAATTATTTTTTTATAATAACAATAATTTCTAAAAATAAATGAATAGTCGTCACTTTATTTGTTGATATGAAGATAATAATTTTTTCATTTTGATCTCATTTTTAGTAATAATAAATAAATGTCAAGTCTTAATAGTAAATTTCATTTGTTTTTAGTACAAATTAAATTATTATGCATGTGTGCGCATGCAAATTTTTGACAAATACAGTCAAAGCTCTCTATAACGAACCCCCTGGACCGAGAATTTTGGTTCGTTATAGAGAGCGTTCACTATAATGACAAAGAACCTCATTTATGGTCACTTGAACATATTATGAATAATTTATTGGCTACGAGTCATTAAGTTTCATAAAATAAAAACGATCATAAAATAGAAAAATTAAGTATTATTCATATAATTATCAATTTTTAATTGTTCTTTTGAATTAAATATATTTTTGACTTTTCTCATTATCAGTTAATTGTGACTTGTCTGTTTGTTGTTCAAAGTATAATTTTGATTTTTTCTATTGAAAACAAAAGAATTATTTCAGGCATATTATTATTAGTATCAACAATAGCAAATAATAATAGTAATAAGAAGAATAATATAATAATAAATTTTTTAATTTTTCAATAATAAATAAGTTTAATGTTACACGGGTTCGTTATGGGGAGCAAGACAGTTCGTTATACAGAATAGAGAATTTAACTATAAAGTTCGTTATATAGAGCAAATTTCATTAATAAAAAATCGGGACCAAAATCTTAATTCGTTATAGAGAGCAGTTCGCTTCTCGGAGGTTCGTTATAGGTAGCTTTGACTGTAATAGAAATAAACAAATTATAAAAAATTAATTTCACTTGATTTTTGTGATACAATAATAGCCAATGATCGGATTTTTATCTATGCTGTACATACCCTAAAAGTATTAATTACACATAATAAGTGCACAAAAATTTTATTATTTTATAGCTTAGGTTCTGAAGATTCGAACTTCTTTTATTTCAAAATTTTTTAATTTTTTAAAATTATTGAAATCATCAAAAAATTTTTAAACAAGAAAATGTAAAAAAAAAATATATCATGAGAATCAGAAGATCTTAAATTATCATATTAATATGTATAAATTTCAAAACATGTTGTTATAGTCTTTAGAGAAATTGTCAAGAAATGATCATGTTTCTTTTATTTTTAATTGCTTAAGTTCTAGGGAATTGAGTAACATAAGATTTTGAATAAATAATCTTCAGAACCTAAGCTATAAAATCATATAAAATTTTTATGTACTTATTATGTAATTTGCGTAATTAATACATTTAGGGTGCCTGATGCTTTTGTCCAGGTCTGTGTATTGATAATAAAACAAATAAATTGTATTAACGATTTCATAAAAGAGTTATTTGCATTTTTATTACGCCTTATTAATTACTCAAATATGTATTTATATCAGTTTGTAGCTTGAGTTTTGGTGAATAGATCTATTAAAAATCATACTTCTAGCCCATCTAGCTGTTTAGTGATTATGAGTTTTAATTTAATGATCATCATAATAAATTAGTCAGGATTCAATTTTTTTATTCTAAATAGATATTTATCAAAACCCAAGCTACAAATTGATATAAATTTTTATTAATTATTTTCT